CCCCAAAACCCCAAAACCCCAAAACCCCAAAACCCCTCATTCCGGGAGTCTTGTTGATACATTAATTTTCTGAACAATTTAAATAAAATGGAGGAAAAATATCCGCCATATTGGATGCAGAATTTACAGAGGGATAACAGATCTTCTCAAGATTTTTACCTATCAAATAAAGAAAGTGAGTCATTGGGGTCGGCTAGACCACCCCTGGATCCACAGGATTTGATGTCTCAGCAGTATACTGAGAGGCAGAAATATGAGAGCAAGGAGAGTGCCAAGAGGCATGATTTCAATTCTCCTCAGTCTGATCTGTATAGCCCTCCTGAGGGTTACTCAGAGAATAACCATTACAGTCTTAAAAAGTCTGGAGAAGAGAGACATCACTGGAGAGATGACACTAGTCACAAATATGATAGCCTCAAAAGTGAAGAGTTCAAAGAGAATCCGTCAATGAAACCTTCAGAATTATTCTCAAATAAAAATTATGACACTAAAGATACTATTGATTGGAAACTTGAGGAGCTAAAGTCTTCTATCAGAAAGCAAGAAGAGCTTCAATTTGCAGACAATGATGCCCATAATTTACCCATGAAGAAAGAAGAGGGGTTTAATTTTCACAATACTTTTAATCCTCAGCAAGATCAATTCCAGAGCCAACAAAAGATGCAGTTTCATGGGTATCATAAAGACTTTAACCAAACTGATGGGAATCTTTTTACAAATAAAAACCCCGAGCTTGAAGATAGGCTTGGAATCATGAAGAAAGCTGCTCTCAATATGAAATCAGAGCCGATGAGCAACCGTGAGAAAAATTACTACGCACCAAGACCTCAGAGTAGGCAAGTCAATGACCATAACTATGAGAGTGAACAAGACGGGTTTGAAAGTTCAACAAATAACTTAATCCGCAATTCAAATGCAAGGATTAACCAGATAGATGAGGTATCATAGCATTCTTAATTTATAGTTCATGTCAACTGTAAAATCAAAAGAAAACCAAGATTTGAATACTGAAAGAGAGCTCCATCATAAATATAATCAAGTTAGCGAGAGGAATGAGCTGAATTATGATTATGAAAAAACTGAGATAAAGTATCCCCAGAACAGTTCTAATGCTCATAACTATGTAAGTAATAGCAATTTATAATTCAGAATCTTTCTCAATATCCAGACAGAGACCAAAGAAATAACAGATTTGAGCAAAACAATATTGGATGCCCCCAAAGAACTGATTCAGATCATAGATTATCAGGAAGGATCAAACCAGCTTCAGTTCCAAAGAGAGATCCTGTGCCTGTTTTCCACCCAAAATATGATCAGGAAAATGATTTTTCACAGGATCCTATCGAGGATAATTCTCAAAGACTCCAAATAGCACCTACAGTACACGATTCCCATCAAGATTCGCCCAAAAAGGTGAACCCTTCGACGTCTCAGGCTAACGTAACTACAAATTTCATGGAAAATGAATTAGCCCTTCTACAAAAATAAAATCGCTGGTCTTGAACAAAAGTTGACGAATAATGTATCTAAAACCTCCACAGGAGGGATGAAGTTTACCACAAATGAACATTTGAACGACTCCCGAAGTAAGGAAGACTCTCGTTTTGAGATAAACTTGGAAAAGTATGAAGAGAAAGCTCAGTATGAAAAGTCCCACAACGAGTCTATTTCCTCTGAAAGTATCCTTAAATCAAGCACGAAGAAGCAGAATCTGAGAGTTAATAATAACTTTGATTCTGAGATCACACAAAGTAACAGTAAGAAGACCAAGAGCAGTAGGAGAGCTGAGAGTGTCTGTGTGAGGACCTCCAGGAATAATTTACAAAAGGCGAACTCTACCTTATCAGCAAAGAAAAATCCTGATAACAACATGGCTAAAAGACTGAGGTCGAAAAAGTCTCAAATGCAGAGTTTCGAGAAATCAGCCACGAAAATTTCTAATGTTAAGGCGAAATTAGATACTTCTAAGGAGGCTAAATCTACAAAAAGTTATATGAGGCCGACTAATTCCTCAGTTAAGAAGTCAAGGAAGGGAAGCATTACGAATACTCTTGTACAGAAGGTGAAAACAAGAGCTAGGAATGACACTTTAACATTGAAGGAGTTTGCAAAACATCCAAATGCGTTACTAATGTTGTTTAAGAACATGAAGTCTTATCATACACAGATGTTGCTTGGGTCTCCTCAAAATCGAGCTTTCCAAATGTTGCACTTCATATTCAGCCCTTACATGATATGCATGTGAATAATTATGAAGCATTTCATGACTCAAATGGGGAAGCAGCAGACCAATACAAAGAGGAATGCAAAGATTCAAGTCAGTAAAGACAAGACTACCAAAGAACCAAAAGTAGATGCTATGTTGCTCCAGCTCAAAAACCAAGAACTCCAAGAAGAAAAGGCTAAAAATGCAGAGCTTAGGAGACACATAGAAATTCTTAAAAAGAGAGTTTACGCAAAAATGGAGTTTGAAGGTCAGGTAAAGGTAGTCAGAGAGGCTGCAGACATGCTAGATCAGCTTAAGGTATTCATTTGAAATAATCTCTAGGCTCAGATACCTACAATGCTTGGCAACAAGTGTAAAAAGGAGCAGAAAGATATTACCAAGAGTCTCACTTCAGTATTGAAAAAGCTTAAATCAAAGGACAAGAAGTCTAATAGTAAAACGACGACTTCAAAATAAGTTGATCAAGATTGAAAATGAAGAGAATTCTTCTCTTGTTACTAATCGATTAAAGAGCTCTGAAGAGAACTTCCAAGGTATGAAGCCTAAGTACCATGCTTACCCCACTATTGATGACACCATCAAAGTTAATGTGAAAAAGAAAAAGTTAACTAAACCTAAAAAGGAGAGTAAAGTACCAAAGAGACATTTCAGGTAGTGAGAATTTTAAGAAATTGAGAAAATTTAAGCATATTTTTTGATAAAATTCTTCTAAAATAATTAAAAAATCTTTCAATTTCTTACTCTGTGCTTGGGGTTTTGGGGTTTTGGGGTTTTGGGGTTTTGGGGTTTTGGGG